TATTTTTTTAAATATATTTTATTGATTTTTTACAGAGAGGAAGGGAGAGGGATAGAGAGTTAGAAACATCGATGAGAGAGAAACATCGATCAGCCGCCTCCTGCACACTCCCCACTGGGGATGTGCCCGAAACCAAGGTACATGACCTTGACCGGAATCGAACCTGGGACCCCTCAGTCTGTAGGCCGACGCTCTATCCACTGAGCCAAACCGGCCAGGGCCCCACTGTATATTTTTTAAAAATTAACCCAAAATGCACAATAGATTTCAATGTACATGGAAAACTATAAAACTTTTAGGAGAAACATAGAAAAAATATTTGGGACCTAAGCTTGGTGGAGTGTTCTTAGGGATGACACTAAAAACATGATTCATAAAAGGAGAAAAATAAACAAATTAGACTTCATCAAAATTCAGTCTTGTGATCTGTGAAGGACCCTATTAAGAAGATGAAAAGATAAACTACAAACTGGGAAAAAAATATTTGCAAACCAGATATTGGTAAAGGACTCGTATTAAAACTCAACAGTGAAAACAAGCAGTCTAATTAGAAAATGGACAAAAACACGAGAGACATTTCACCAAGGAGGATATATGGATAGCAAATAAGCACATGAGAAGAAGTTCCATATCACTAGCCAGAAGGGAAGTGGAAATTATGACCACAACGATTTATTACTACACACCTATTAGAATAGGTAAAATAAAAAAAATGATGACAGTACCAAATGCTAGCAAGGATGCCCAGAAACCAGACCATACATTGTTGGTTAGAATGTAAATTGGCACGACTCATTAGTGAAAAACAATGAACTATTGACACCCACAACAACTTGGATACATTGTGTGAAGTTAAAAAAAACAAACTCAAAAGGTCAGATATTATATGATTCCATTTATATAACATTCTCAAAATGACACAATTACAGAGGAGAACAGAGTAGTTGTTGCCAGAGGTTAATGATGGTGATGAGGTGAGGAGTGACTATAAAGGGATACTACTAGGGAGATCTTTGTGGTGATGGAATACTTCTGTATCTTGGTTGTAACAGTGGCTACACAAATCTACACATGGATAAAATGATAGAACTACACAAACACTATACCAATATCAATTTCCTGGGTCTGATACTGTGTTATAATGAAGTAAGATGTAACTCTTGGGGGAAGCTGGGTAAAAGATACACCCAAACTCTCTGTACTATTTTTGCAACTTCCTGTGAATCTATAATTATGTTTTAAAAATTTCTTTAGGCTATATAGACACAGGTACCTTAGGGTTGGTAGGTAGATAAACTCATGTTTATTAACAACTAGAGGCCCGGTGCACAAAAATTTGTGCACTGGCGGGGGTGGTGTCCCTCAGCCTCACTTGTGCCCTCTCACAGTCTGGGACCCCTCGGGAGATAACAACATGCTGGCTTAGGCCCGCTCCCGGGTGGCAGAGGGCAGGCCCAATCCCTAGGTGCAGCCCCTGGTCCGGCTCAGAGCAGGGCCGATTGGGGGGTTGGGGCGCCGCCCCCTGTCACACTCAAGGCAGGGTCGATGGGGAGGTTGCCGCACCACCCCCTGTCACGCACAGAGCAGGGCCCATCATGGGGGTTGGGGCGCCGCCCTCTGTCACCCACAGAACAGGGCTGATCAGGGGGTTGGGGAGCTCCCCCCTGTCACACATAGAGTAGGGCCAATCAGGGGGTTGGGGCACTCCCCCCGTCACACACAGAGCAGGGCCCATGAGGGGGTTGGGGCGCCGCACCCTGTCACACACAGAGCAGGGCTGATCAGGGGGTTGGGGAGCTCCCCCCTGTCACACATAGAGTAGGGCCAATCAGGGGGTTGGGGCACTCCCCCCGTCACACACAGAGCAGGGCCCATGAGGGGGTTGGGGCGCCGCACCCTGTCACACACAGAGCAGGGCTGATCAGGGGGTTGGGGAGCTCCCCCCTATCAGGCACAGAGCAGGGCCGATCAGGGGGTTGGGGTGCCTTCCCCTGTCATAAACAGAGCAGGGCGGATAGGGAGGTTGTGGCCCCGCCCCCTGTCACACACAGAGCC